TCAAACCAAGTGACCCCAGGTTACTGCAGGATCACACAAGACACAGCGCAAGCAGAAGTGAGGAAGGAGTCATGGGGTGGAAAGCTGCACCTTTTGGCATTCAAGTTGCACTATTACATGCTATTTTAGCGGTCCTAAAGTAAACCCAGTCACCAAAATCATCTGGGTTTAAAACCAGAATTCTTTAATCCAGAACCTTTTGGTTATCTAGTTTCTACCAGAGCTCGACAGGCTGCTAGCACAACAGGGGCACTAGCGAACGGCAGTGCGGAGGCAGGTGCAGAAACCCATTAACACGTCAGGGGAACTGCACACTTGGTCACGCTGCAAAGCTTTGGTAGGTGGCTCCCAGACTCAAGAAAATGTTGGTTTCCACTTCCTCAGGATAACAGACCTGTAGCTGTGGAATCAGTTCTCCCTCCAAATTAAACAGTTCCTTTCCAGTTCAACCCAGGGTCAGCAAGAAGTGGGGGGGGAAAAAGATTTTAAAAAGCTTCAGTGCAGGGAACCTCTTTGTCATATATGACACACTTGTCATGTATTCGAGGGTGAGAATGCCGGGGGGGGTAGGAAAGTCAGAGTCCATGGCTCCACTAGTGAGTTTATAGACCAATCTGCGGCATGGCACTTTTTTTCCTTTCAATTCTGAAAGCTGCTCAAAGCATTGGCTAGCTGCTTGACTTTGCATGGTTTTTTTCTGAGTCATATATATATTAAAAAAAAAAAAAAACAAAAGCAAAGCAAACAGGAGGGAGGAAAAGAAAATAGGTGTCATCTACACGTGGTGAAAGATTAAGAGAAATGTAGGTCCAGAGACAGCCAGACCCATCCACAGACTCCAACTTACAGTAACTTTTTTCCAGAGGTGTCACTAAGAGCAAACAACTGCAAATGGAGTTTATCCACCTCCGATTTCAGCAATATAATATTTACCCACTTCTTACAGATACCAGACAGGTGAGTAATTTACCACCGCACTACTGCACCTCTCTTGTGTAGCCGCTTACACAAGAAGAAATTGTCCCACTCTCATTTCAGGGCCAGATCCAAACTTCAGCGAAGTCTTTTTCGTTTCCTTCACATAGAGTTTTGTTCTAACACATTAACGACATGTAGCGTAGATGACATGAGCGGTGGAACTCCTCCAAAACACATTTAGTTTCCTGTCAGAAAGTATTGCGTGCCTTTGTGCAGGAAATCATAAAATAGAAAACAAACATGTAAATATACCATTTCAACACATCTTCTACATCAAAGCAGACCTGATGTTTTTAATTTCAGCTTTTTGAGGGTTTGTTTTTATAAGTTGCTGAATTTATTTTGTAGCTCCTGTTTATGAAAAGAACTTTAAAAGAGTTATAAATTACATTTATCAAATGAAGAAAAACTACAACTATGAAGTTCTCAGAAAAGGAAATAATGTGAACCCTGTATGTGCAGTCGTGTGGACACACACACACAAACTTATATATATTTAAGTTAAACACTGAAAAAAAAATGCTGAACCACAGACCACATGCAGAAGAGTAAAAACCACCCAGAACCAGATGTGCCACTGTAAATCCCATATTTTAGGATATATTCTATGAAATCCTCAGTGCGCAGGAAGCCCTAAGTTCCCACACTATTTGTAGCAGCGATATGGATTCCTAGAAAGACCAAGTACCTTCACGTACCTAAAAATAATCCAAGATCCGACTGGGAGGTACGGCCCTTGTGAAGTAGAAAGAGGGTTACCGGAGTGAAAACACATGATTTTGAAAACCGTCCAGCATAACACAGAAGTGAGAACAGCAGTGATATGTCACTTCAAACCCCCCGAGAACCAAAGGGCTGCAGAAGGAATTCCACCCTTTCCCACGGAGTTTTGTATAAATACACGAGCGCCGTACTTTGACTGAACGCATCGGTGCGTGGCTTGTAGAGCCATGCAGAGCCACCGTTTCGCTATAAAACAGCGGCCTCAGGTTATACTCGAATTTTCCTATGTTAGGAGAGTGTAGCAGTGGGCCGCTGTAGCAAAATGCTTCGGTTCTCTGCTCTATCCACAGCTGAATAGGAAACCCCAATTCAGAAGTTTCCTTCAAGCTATAAAAATAAAGCAAAGTTGTTTCCAGGGAATGGAGAAAAAGTCATTTCCAAAGTCCCTATCCAGCTACAAATATGCTATATAAGAACTTTTTTTACCCCGGAATATCTCTCACTGATCTAGTAGAGCAAAGTTTGTTGATATTCAGGGTTGCAAACCCATCTGTTTACTCAGGCTTTTGTCTGTCAGCATAGTTTGAAGAGGTCACTTTGAGAGATCAATTTTTTTCCTGGGGGTTTCTTCAGAGCTACCACAATTTGTTATTGCGTCTGTTTAGAGGCTTTAATTTGTGGTTTTCAAGATTGCATAACTGCACAGAGAGGTGGTGAGAGGCCCACATGAAGAGTTCAAATAAGTTTGACAATATAGTAAATATCTACTCAGTAATTTTCCCTGGACTGAGCACCACGGAATGTCAAAAAATGTTATTTATTTTATTAATCAGGCTAGTGTATGAAGGTGGCTTTATGAGGACCAGAGCATACGTTTCCATTCAAATGCTAAAACGCTGAATTCCCTTTGCTTGCTGTTGACACCAACTACAGACAATGCACTGGGGGGCTGCAAACCAGGCGCCTGATTAGATTGCTCTAAAACGGCCTATTCGGAACCAGATAAAGAAAAAATAAAATGAGATTTTAATTTTGCCTTTTATTCAGAGTTCTCGTAATGAGTTACATAAAAATGAAGTAAGCCGCCTAGACTCCCATGAGGAGGCTCAGCATTAATTTTTCCATTTTGCAGATGTTAGACGGGAGGCACAGAGACATGCAGAGGCACATTTGGAGAAGCGCGGGCTGCACCCAGCGGGAGCTGCAGGTCCTCAGGGCCTCTGGGAATCTGCAGCCAGAGACACGACGCCGGCGCCAGGCAGAAACAGCGCGCTCAGGACCCATAGGCACATCGAATGCTTGGGTCGCGTGTCCCCAGAGTCAGCGCGGCAGGCACCTGGGCACGCGGCAGCTGTAGCAGCAGCTCAGGGATGCATGAGTCTCGTTTGTATAGCAGAGGGCAGTGTTCAGCATTTTGGATAAGTAATATCCCTTTCGGAAGAAGCTGGTGAGGAAATGATGTGCACGCTGCAAGCTGGGAACCCTCCATCAATGGAGTGGCAAGGCTGTGAGCTGAGCTGGCGTATTTTGTCCAGGGCTGTGTTTATACACCAAACTAGATTTAAGCTCCGTACCTCTGGGACAGGTGTCCATCTGGTCCAGCAAGAAGGAATTTACAGGCCATAAATTCCTCCTACCTGGGTAAAGACTGAAGGCGGCCAGTCTGTGCTCAGCTCCGCATACTGCAAGCACTTTGCTATTGATACACAACCCACCCAGCCTAAAAGCAGCCCTTGCATGTCCGCTCCATGGGCAGTACACAGGTCTACCTGACCATGTCCATGAGGTGACACTTCAGCCCTCTGTTTAAGGACTTTGCTAGACTTACTCAGATGAGAAGCCTGTGTTTATACTTCACTTGACAACAGAAAAAAAATACTGCTGACTACTCTTGGGTCACTGCAAAGGAGTATCTGGCGTGACTTACAGCTCACCTGGATGCAGCAGGACCCCCGGTGAACAGGGGAACGTCGCGGAGGCAGCACTCTCCTGCTGCCTCCACCATCCCTGCTGCCCACCCGTCCTGCCACCCCCCGCAGCACCGCCCGGGCCCCAGCTCCGCGGCGCGGGAGAGCTCGGTCATGGCCGAGCTGTGAGGAGATGCCCGGGTGACGCACGCCCCGCACGCCCCGGGATGAGACGGGGTGACCTTCCCCGGGGACGCTGGGGCCGCCCGACCAGGCTGGCGTCGAGCGCGGTCGCAGGCCGCCTCTGCA